TTTGACCTGGCCGGCACGGCTGTGGTTGGCGAGCAGCAGGCCCTCGCGCTGGGCGTGCTCGAGGATGGCGGTGTAACAGAAGTAATACTGCTCGGGGGTCTGGATGCTGAAGGCGCGCTGGGTCCGCATGCGCAGCACCGTCTGGTAGATGTTCAGCGTGCCCACGTCCTGCAGCTGGGACAGGCAGATGTCCAACGCGCAGAAGGTACCTGGGGACAATGATGGGGATGGCGTCAGCCACCAAAGAGCCTCACTGCCCCTTGTGAGAACCGGAGTGGGGCAGCAGTGGTCCTCAGCCCCCCACCAACCTCCCGCACAAGACCACGGGCATCGGCAGAAGCGTGGCAGAGTCTTCTCCCAGATCTGATAGCTGCAGAAAGTCCTGGGGACAATCATCCCTGGTCAACCGGCTTGCAGATGCACCATGGGTCCAAGGGATGGAAATGCCCCAGGGGGAGGCTGGACTTGCCCCACGACCACAAGACCCCTGCCTCAGCAGCAGGGTTACCCCGTTACCTGTCCTGCCGATGCCGGCGCTGCAGTGCACCACAACCGGGGGTCCCCCAGGGTGACCCTTGAAGCGAGGTCCCAGAGCGCTGACTGCCACCCTCTGCTGCTGCTTCACGGCCCCCAAGAAGTCGATGAGAGTGGCCGCGGAGGAGGGGACGCCGTAATCTGGCCAGCTCAGGTACTGGAAATGGGAGACCAGCCGCCGCTCCCTGGTCTGGGGGAAAGCAGTGGGGTTAGACCCTCTCCCCTACTCTGCCCCTGGCCACAGAGGACCCCCAGTGCCCCTGTGCCATCCCCTGCCAGGCAAATGCAGCCACACACCTCAGAGCTGTGGATCTCCAGGATGGTTTTCTTGTAATGGTTGAGGTTCTCCACGCCCAGGTTGGTGATGGTCAGGGCCCCGAAGCACACCTGGAAATCCTTCTCCAGGGGCCAGTACTGGCCGCACTTTCTCCTGCCTCCCTCCTCCAGCCTGGGAGCAGGAGAAGAACAAGCTGGTGATGTTCTCCTTGCCCTGCTAGGGACATGCCCCATGCCACCCGGCCTTGGTCCCTTGGGGACCCTGCAGGGACCAAATGGTCCATCCCTGATGTGGTGTCCCCACCCCGCAGGGCTCTGGCTGGCACCATGGCTGCAGGGTTGCTGCAGAGAGCACAGCGCTGCTCATCCAACATTTTGCAAAGAAAAACAGGGCTGTGCCCTGCCCAGGGCACTCACCGGGTCGTCATCACGATCACCAGGACGTTTTGCTCCCACACCATGCGCCAGAAGTCACCATAGGTGTTTTCCAGAGGCCCTGCGGGGACAGCCTGCACATCAGCCCAAAACCTGATGGGTTTGGGCAAGGCCCTTCACCCAGCAGCCTCTGCCAGCCCCCCTTGCCCTCCCCAGAGGACCACAGCCCCTTCCTGTGGGGACCGACCCCAGTGCAGATCCACCAGTCCTGCCTGGAGCTGCCACCGATTGCCCCCGCCCCCAGCACCGAATCCCTATGGCTCAGCACCGATTCCCCATCTTTGCTCCCTGCTTCTCCCTCCCCAGGGAGACAGGGCAAAGCCGGGGCAGGAGGAGGGGGCTGCCATCGCCACTGATAGCAGGGGTCTGGTCTGCCCAGGACCTAACTTGTGGGAGGTGGCTGAAGGATGATGGACCCACTTACCCTCTTCCAGGAGCACCTCTGGTCCCTCCTAGCTGGAGACCAGGAGGGGAGTAAATACACCCAGAGAGGAGGGGGACTTGCTGGACAGTGCCCTCCTCCCAGGCTATCCCCCCGTGCAGACAGTGCCTGATACTGGGCAGGGAGGTGAAGCCCGTGTGCATCAGGAGCAAAATAACCCCCTTGGTGGCTCCCACAGGAGCTTGGGGCTGTACCCTGAGTCCCGATGTAAGCATTCCTCTGCTTGTAGCCATCCATGAAGCTCGCATTGATGTAGTCGGTCAGCTGGAGGGAGAAAAGCACGCACAGCATGAGCCCTGCAGAGCCCCGTGGCCAGGACGGCTGCAGCAGCTCCAGGTGGGACTCAAGCTTCCATCCCAGGCTGGCTCACCTCCGGGCGGCTGTACGGCTTCGCCAGCTTGACACGGGTTTGGTCCAGGCAGGGCACGTCCCCGTACCGGTTCTTCTCCTGGTTGTAAGGTGCCCTGGGAGGCAGGGGAGAGGGAAGCAGGGATGTTTTCCAAGCTGGAAGGGAAAGCCAGCATCCCTCCCTCTGCACAAGCCTCAGGCACCCATAGCCTGGGCTCTGCTGCCATCACCTGGCCAAAGCCTCGGAAAGCAAAGTCCCGGCCAGGTCCTCGTCCCTGCTG